ATGAGTTCTCTGTGAAAAAGTTTATTTCAATTCCACTGTAATCAGGCATACTTTGGGTTTAGGTCACTATTCTTTCGGTTGATCAGAATGCTGAGCAGGACGCGATATGGAGAAACATTCTTGACAGACCGCAACAGACCTGTATCATTTCATACAGAATGTTCACACCAAAATACTTTCAATACATTACCATAACCATTTTTTTAAATTTTTTTTTTTTATTTAGTTTAAGATTAATTATCACAGCTTACAAACTGATAGTTACATAAACACAGTCCAGTATCACCGTGCTTGTAAACTCTAATTTTTGTATTTCTCACAGACATACTACCCCGGTAGTCATTACTGTTTTATATTGACGCAACTGTTTACTTGCCTTTATGTATATATTGTTGTACATATTCAGAGAAAAATTGATAGTACAGAAGAACAATTTTGAGTATTAATTGCTTCTAATGTAACGGCTGTTACTATGCTATATACATGTATGTCTGTGAATGACGTATTTGCAGCACCCTTACATGGCAGATTAGAGCATGAGCAAAATGAGGGAACTTGGAAAATGTCAATTGACTCAAATAATTTTTTTTTCAGGCGACTGGTTCCTGGGATCACACTGTACGTGTATGGCCATTGGAAAGCAGCGTTAATGATGTTAAAGTACTCACAGGACATACTAGTAATGTACATTCTGTGGCATTTTCAAGGCCAGGAATGCTGGTGAGTTTAACATATGTCTGAACCTATGCATTAATGTTTTAATACCAGTCTTTAAGGGAGTTTTAGTATAATTCTAATGTTATACTCAGCATTTTACTTATTACTGCACATATATGCAATGCATATTTAATTTGCAGTTGAAAGTATGACAAACATAACATACCATACTTCCCCGATCATAAGCCCCTTTTGAGTATGGTAGTAGTTTTCGAAACACCAAAGATGTGATCGTCAAGTCGTGAAACCTGGTCATTGAACATCATGATTCCCAAATAATCATGTTCATTAGGGCTATCGTGAATGGGATGTGAACGAGCAAACTATTCTTCGACCTGATTTGTCAGCGGCCGTGAAAGGTTTAAATACTTCCTTCACCCTCAGTTTATCTTTCGAAAATTGTGAATCAACAGCTTTTAGGGAAAAAATCTGTTTTTTTGTCAAAATCAACATTTACAGATTGCATTTTAACATTGCAGTAATTCACTTCCGTATTGCGTTGAACAAATTACTTCATCAATAATCGGAAAACTTTGTCTGTACGACACAGCATTTTGATTGGTTAATGAAAGACGTGATCTATTAGGTCAAAGGAAGTTGTTCAGATCAAATCTTGATGAAAAACACCTAGGCAAAAATTGCTTTGTATCGAGAGTTTGCGTACGATCGAATACATTCCACCAGGGTTTTACATGACGCAATATATTGTGTCTTGATGCATAATTATGACCATATGACCCTCATAAAAATCAGCAGTGCGTCCTGCGGGATGCCGAAATTTTGGCGTCAAGTTGTGAGTAATCCATCCCTCCATTTGATCTGTAGTAGTTGCTAAATGGGCTCTTGTAACACTAGAACCTCCCTCGATTTCAAATGGAACGCTCCAAATCGTCATTCGTATGTGCGTCGCCATTTACACCAATCACAAACAATGTACTACGTAGACGCTTTGTGTTTATACTTTTTCAAGGTGTTAGCTTGTTTCTGTTGGCTCTAAACTTCTAATGGTCCTCAACATTTAAACATGGCGACAGTGCCAAGGCAGGCCGATCTCTGTTGTTTCTTTGGCGGCAGGCCGTCTACTAGTTCTCCCGTTGAAGCTTCACCAGCTACATCCATTGAAAAGCCCCACGTTTTACCAAAGAAGGATCGTTCTTTCAACAATGGGTGGCTAAATCGTTTTAAATGGCTTTGTTACATATTAGTTTACATGTGAAGTTTGTGTGAGAGCGAAAGCCAAAAACCCTTTCACTGACGAGTGTTCACATTTTCGAAACTCAACTCTCATCCGGCATCAAGACTCTAGAAGTCACATAAACAGTGTCCGTGTGTTGTCCATGAAGTCAGACTTTACGGCCCCTCGTCAGGTAGCAAAAGAGAGGAAATATCAATGTACAAGTGACAGTCTGAAATCATACGCAGCTCAGCTGCGAACTGTTTATGTTATGGCTAAACGGGATCTCCCTTGCGATGTTTTTACCGATTTCATGCATGTTCAGAATTTGTTGTATGAATAAAGACCTGGATAAAACTTAGTAAATTAGATCTTGTTTTCATACCGGGACTCCTCCATTGAACTCCAATAATCTCATTAACTCTCCAATGTATTGTTTTCCCTATTTAACAAATATCAATTTCTTGATTTGTGTATGGCCCTCAAATTTGCAATTGTGACCCCCAAATTTTCAGACAAGGGGTCCCAATGACCCCCACATCTAAAAAAATGATGTAAAACCCTGCATTCCACAATGACTGTTTTTCCACAGACCCTACCCATTTTTGCACCGTAAATTCAGACGGTATGTAAATCATATTGTGATAAAATGTGTGTGTATTGTAAAAAGTGTTGTGAAAATCAATGACGACTCATTTCGCATTTTTTCCTCAAAAAGACGTAATATTTCTATGAGACCGGCGCTGTGAACAAAAAATGTAATTTAAATAATTTTTTGTGGGTGGGAAGATGGTTACAATTTTAAACCTCCCAATAAATTTTCTTTTCTGAGGTGGTCCTAGAGTATAAGCCCACCCCGCAATTTTCACGATTTTACATGTTCAGGCCCCTGGACTTATGATGGAGAAGTACGGTATATAATCTTGAATTCTGCTTGAATCTTCTTAAAGTGTTAGTCTTCTATGAAAGGACATTGTAAAACAGCTCAGATTAATCTTTCATTTAAATTAATCTAAGTATGTTTTGTTGAGATTAGGTTTAACGTGAGTTACTCCTGTATATATTCATTTCAGGCTTCAGGATCGTGGGATAAAAGTGTAAGGCTTTGGAATCCCAAATCTGGTGGTTTATTACATATCTTAGCTGGACATGATGGTTGGGTACAGGCTGTAACATTCTCTACTGATGGTATACTTTTAGGTAGTGCTTCTGATGATGAAACAGTGAGTTATAGCCAAAAATCTGTCAAGTGTGCATATTTAATTAGGCATTTGCATACATACAATTTTGCAGCTCCAAGAGTTTGTTGCACATATTGGTTGATAGGATATGGTGTTAGTTGTAACATTCATTACTGATGATACACTTTCAGGAAGTGCTTCTGATGATGAAATCGTTAGTAAAGCTAATAAACTGTCATGTATGAATATTTAATTAGGCCATTTGCATACACACAGTCTTGCAGTTCTAAGTTTGTTGTACATTCTCTACTCTACTCTAGGGAAGTACTTATGATGATGAAATAGCGAGTAGCCAGCAAACTGTTATGTGTGAATATTTAATTAGCTCATTTGCATACATGCAACCTCACAGTCCTCAGGATTTATTGAACATAATGGATGGCCATAATGAATAGGTGTAGGCTGTAACATTCTCTACTGATGGTATGATCTAGATAATTGTTTCTGGTGATAAAACAGTGAATAGCCAACAAACTGCCTTTTTGAATATTTAATTAGCTCATTTGCATACATGCAACCTCACAGCTCTCAGGGTTTATTGACATATTAGATGGTTATAATGAATAGGTGTAGGCTGTAACATTCTCTACGAATGGTATACTTTTAGTAAGTGCCTTTGATGATGAAACAGTGGGTAGCCAACAAACTGTTATGCATGAATATTTAATCAGCTCATTTGCATATATAGTATTATCGTTCCTTGTATATTTTTAATCATAGAAATCTATGATGTCATTGCGAATGTTATTATTTCAGGTACGTCTTTGGGATGTTGTGAGTGGCGAATGTATTAAAGTATTGGAGGTAGATATTTATTTGTATATATTCTGCATATATTTCCATTTTGTTTGCAGTTATTTGACTTCACATTTACATATTTTTTGTTTTGAAATTGACATAAAAAATGTGCTTTTATTTTGATTTTTCATGAAAATTTATATTTTTCTTTCTTTGTTTTTTTTGATAACGCTGATAAAAAAAAAATCAATAAAAAAAAATCTTTGACATGCACATTTTGAATTGATGTCCTTGATGACCAGAAACTTGAAAATTAAATTTTTTAGAGTCTTACTAATTCACTTGAAGTTACTTATGACAGAGAATCAGTGAAAATATTACACACCAGTATAATGTTTAAAACAACAATAAATA